TTAGGAATGTGGATTTTATACATTTTTAACGTATAGTGCTATGTGAAATAGAATAAAAGACAAAACTAGAAGTAATCATTAAATACAACGAGTTTTCCTACGCTTGTTTTTGTCTGTATAAATTACTTTATAAAAAGTCATTTTGCATAATTCATTTGCAATTTATTAATGAATTTTAGTTAACATGATAAGAAGATAGCTCTAATCTACTTCTATCTTGTGCATAAACAGTGTCTATCTTCACTAATTGTAAGAACTATAGAGAGAGCGTTGAGTATAATATCTTATGTAATATGAGTTGATATTGATATACATATATTAATGTAGTATTAATAAATAGTTGATACTCATTGTCAGTATAAGCAATATATTCGGATATACTCATACGTATATAACAATTTAGAGGGTCTTTTCCGAGACTTTTCCGAAACATTACTGCTTTCAAGCGTACAATTATGGCAGGAATAATGGTAACCTTGTCGCGTTTAAACCGGTTACTTATTTTCCTCTAATCTAATAAAAATCGACATTACCATATTCCTACCAACCGTCCAAACGAAAATCTTTTCTCATCACGCACTCATCGAGATCGAAGAAAGATCAATTTGCGTCCGTGAGATAGCGAATGAAAATTAGTCACGAACGGATCAGAGGGAACCAGTGAGACACTGGAGGAGCGGTAAATTTGTAATATGACCCGAGAGAAGGTAGTATTGTGCTTGACTGTACACACGGAACGCGATTCTACCATTGGGCGATATTGTCCGCGATAGTGCGTGATAGGTACCCGCGTGAACCTGGCACAGGACTTGGCTGATATTAAAAATCAATATCTCCTGTTTGGTTGAATTCGTACCCGCCTGTGCCAGACCGTGTGAGGATCGCAGACCGTACCGTACCGTCCACCGTTCGTTATTCTACGAAACCTGAAAACGCGATTTTCCACCATGTTTACCGAGTACTTAATAACCACGATAATTAACCGGTCGGCGTAATTAACTTCTGCATGCTCGGGAACTTTACGGATCTTGAGATCGGCATCGCTGCATGCAATCGAAGAACACACAATCAACGAAACTTTCCGAGTGTGTTCCTTAAAGCAGACATTTTTTGTTCGTGCTATCGGCTCCAGGCTGCGACTTTTCCAGCGTGAATTAACTAGTTTACCGACTGTTAGAGTCGGGGCTGAGTTTCGTGGAATTACAGAATACCTTCTTTTTGGTCGTTCAGTATTGGAAAGGTAATTCGTTCGAATACTGTGTTACTAAAACTTCATAAAGGGAAGCAAATATATTCGGTAGCATTGTTCGTCATCTATCTGGTATAAATATCCCAATCACATACTATCAATGTTCCTAACACTGACACTTAATTTATTTTACTTATTATAATACTTATTATAAAGTATAAAGAATTGTGTACAAGAATTTTTTATTAAATTGGCTCTGATAAAAATAAGAACAAAGAAAATTTAAACTATATAATAATTACTTTCATTTTTCAGACAATAGTTATAGGGATACACTGGGATTGCCCACAGTTTAAGTTAAACAACACGTAAAATGATTAAATGAATTTACGTTACAATCATAAGATGGAAGTGTGGTACATCTACCCTATGCTATTACTAGTCTCTACTTTCTTTGTGAACTAATAATGTAAAAGGTAGAATAAAGGTTTTATACAGACAAAGAAGAAATTCTGGTGTCGCTTGTAAAGTATGTAACGGTTTAATCCCTGGAAGGCAAATGTTTTTTGCAAGCGTAAAACGAAGCTGACTGACTGAGTCTATTTGTTGACTTGTCAACACAGGTAAATTTTAAACATGTAAAATATTTTAAAAAAGGTATTGTTAGTGTATAAGTTAAAATTATAGTGTATATGTTACAATAAAAGTTACATTAGAGTTATAGCTATTTTGGGAAACTGGTATACATATATCAATGGACAGCTACGTTTCTGTAATAGGAAGTATACAAAATGGCCTCGTTTAGGTTTGGAGGTAAAGTTGCAGTCGCGGTGCCATGGAGTCTTTGAATGTTTTGAAAAATGTTTTTTAAAGAGGAGTTACCGAAAATTTTATACAAGCACGTCAGTAGAATAAGTTACACTAGCTTACTCTGTCATTAAGAATTTATTCTATAACATAAGGTATACAACTTGGGAATTAGGTCGAAAAGTGTTAATGTTTATATGATCCCTTTTTATTATTTTCGTATCCTCGATTTACTGCTGAAGTACGTCCGATGTGAAGCATCTTATATATTTCGGAATATAAAAACTTGCAGGTTTAACTGAATCATCATAATCTAAAGAATTAAGTGAAGTTATTGGTAAAAAATGTGGGTCTAAATAAATCTTGGTTACCACCATTAACTTTAACAACCATTCATCTTCAGTTATCAATTTGATATTGTAGTTCCTTCTTAATTAAAAATTCATACCTACATTGAATTTCTTAACCATACCAAAAATATATCTTTTATAAAACTATAGTTATGAATTTTTATTTATGTGGATATTCTAATGTCCAGAAATATGGAAATCAGATTTTTCGTGTGCAAAACTTTTTTCGAAATTTCATTATGAAATTTTGTTTTGAGTTATATGTATCACATATTTTATCTTATAATATATTATTTATATTCTTAATATGCTATCCTTGCGATAATGAAACTTCTAGTACAGGAAGCAAACCTCTAATTGTCATTTTTATCAATTACGTAGTGTCTACATAGAACTGTGAATTTGCATAAACATTTGCAGTGTATATAATTTAAGAAGGGAAATTTCTTTTAATATTTTTATTAATCATGTAAGTGTAGTTTTAAAGAAATCTTTGTAGGTTGTTCTATAATTTCTGCTACACCCTGTACTTCAGTAATATGTATAGGAGTTTGTAATGAAGTTTATAATTTGAAATACGAAAATTCCGAAGAAAGTAAAAATTTAGAGACGTTAAAGTCCGGTATACCTTTTAATTATTGAAATTTTTTGTACACAATTATACAATAATTGTGCATTAACCCTAATCCAGATTATATTGATTCGTATGGTCATACATTTCTTTTTGAAATAAATGTTGGTCCTTATTATCCGATAGAATCACGAAATTTTTAGTCAAATTCGTAGAATTTTTAGCAACGCGGCAAGATTCGCAGGAAAAATTTGTAATAAACTCGACGGTAAAAGATGTTTATTGAATGAAATTACAAATCTAAAGAAAGAGCTTCAAAGTAGAGTGTAATAAAATGGGACAGGATATTAATATTTATCAGTAGAGAATCTGATTTAACAGATTACTTGTGCTTATGTTTTCAAATAAGCTTCTCTGTGATGAATAGCGTGAGTCCAAAATCTTGAGAAAAACTTTATCATAAATTGAACAAATACCGGGAATAATCTATTTTCGCTATTTTTATTTTGATCAACAAAAAGATTCAAATTCATATGCACCTATAATCTTTCCCGAAGAATTAATTCAGTTTTTGTGGCAGATATTTAGTTACTGGTAGCAAAATATGATGAAGGAAAAACTATGTTTAAAACGTCTTTTGTGACCTATCAAAGCTATTCTTGACGCATTTGTGTTAATAGCAGATCTAACAATACTTTTAAAACTTACGTATGGAATTATAATATCTAAAATTATTTTTTATAACAATAGCTGGCCAGATATTTTTAATATTTTATAAACTGCTTATACGTTATACCCTGTAGTTTAAATATAGTCACGTTAAAAAAAGATCGTTTAGATCGATTCAGAGTAAAGATTGTTACAAATTTCACCTATAAACGATTCTGTTCTGTATAATTTCTTCTTGGGACCAATAGGTCACAAGATACATATAGTTTTTGTTGTTTTTTTATCACCTATTTGGTCGCTCATTTTACAAACAACCCGTGTATGCATATAAGCAGATCATATCGAATACTTGCACTGCAAAATACGCTTACGATTTATGAAACATTACGATACCATTGCTTCTTTACATTTGGTCTTGGTGCACTTCCGATATTCCATAGGAAGCCGACTCACTGGCTAGATCCAAATAAAGCTACTCCAGCGAAAGATATTAATAGACAACAAAGTGCTGAATGTTATTAAAAATGATAGATATACATATTCGCGTTACGAACATTTTAAAAATAATTTTTGAAATTAAAGATTTTTTTAATTCTCCCAATTTATTCGAAATAACCGAATTGTACCTGTACTTCTCGTAATGTGCAAGATTCGTGTCAAGTAATGGTTATGTCGTACGTACACTTCCGCTCATAAGTGTTGTGACACTAATATGCAGTAAATGTTACAAGGCATGCCGATATTACTCAAAGTCTGAAATAAATATTGTGTAGCGGATATTAAAGCTGGGTGGGCAGCGTTTGTGCTACTATAAAGTAATAAACGTTATCTAAAATATATAACTTTTACGAAACATCATACTTTCTTCATACAGACCAAGTGGCCTAACACTTACGAGCGGTAGTGTACAGTCACTCGCAAAAGCCTTCGACCACCCTATAAGTGGGTGATTTGACAACGTATGAGGCAATGTTAACTATTTTGTAACAAAATGTATTAGTCTATAGGAATATTTTAACAAATAAGAAAAAACGATTTATGCATCTAAAGAAAAGTGACATTTTTTATGGGGTGTACGAAGACTTACGCGAGTGACTGTATTCGTACGCCAGGCGGTGAAGAATTCGTGTCACTGTGGATTGCATTTTCAGTGATGAACCATAATGTTCAAGGGGTTAAACATTACAGTGTCCTGTAACTATTTACACACACAGCGTTGAATTTTTCACGAAAAAAAAAAAAAAAAAAAAAAAAGGTGTCGCCGCTAGCGAGTTCCAGTGTTCGAACAAAACAGCCCGCGAGATCAGCTCGATCCGTTCGTACTGCTGGTTTCGCGGTTTGCTCTACGTGCATATTGTCTACCTGCTAGTTCGTATCGTAAACTAATCGAGTATAACGATCATGTATCACTAACGTGCATCGGGGCGCTCGTCGGCGGCTCCAGAGCTTTGTCTGCAGATAGTCAAAGATAGGAACGTACGGGGACCTGTGGATGTAACGCCGGATGGACCAGCGTCGCGTGTTGCAGAGTGCCAGGTAATTCGCCAGCTGTTGAGTACGCCAGTGGATGGTGCCACAATTCAGGACCACCAGGGAAGAATGGGCTCCCTAGGTCTGCAATAGAATACATCGTTAATGTGAAATGCTTCGCGTACCAGGCGACAGATAGTTCCGGTATTGAGTCGTTACGAACACGGTTAATTAGATTTCAGGCATCGGGTTCCGTCGCCCTTTCGGCCCACGCGCTTCCCCGCGATGGTTTAAGAATTTACGGTCTCATGGGAATACAGTGGAACAGCTCTACAGACTTTTGCTTTCTAACCTTTGTGCTCTCGGTAGACAAAATACTTAGAGTCCACTTCCGTTCAACTTACCGAGAAACGTTACACCGACAGTTGTTACTAGACTGCCGATCGTTACGCGAAATGACAGTTTTTTAAATTAGTTTAATTTTCGGAGGAAAAATGAAAGATTCTGTTAGGATACGCTGCTCGAAACAGTTAGAAAGGATCGGTACTGTATGAGATCCTATATTGCTCCATCTAATCGAAGGAAATGAAACATTTGAGCCAAGTTCTGCAGAAAGCTACCAACCCACAATGATCTGAAATCAAGTAAATTTAGTTTGAAGATTTTAATTCAAACAACAGAGTAGTTTTATCTCTATTGGGTATATTTTATTTGTTGTTGTTGTTGTTGTTTTATGATGTTTCTTAATGGCTTATTTAATAGTGAGTAGTATAATTAATATTATTTTAAATTTCTATAGCTAATTTTAATTTAATTTTTAATTTTCTATGGCTTGGTACTTTTAATAATTGCATAATGCGAAAGTATGATAAAATAAAGATCACAAAATTATGGCATCCGTACTGTGTTTAACTAATTTTGTGTCACTTTGAGGGTTAGTAGGTTTCTACATAACTTGGCTCAATTACTCATAGATCTGATAAAATTACATATTTTGCGGAGAATAAGAACATTGAAATAGTTTCAATTTCATAACGAAATTTCCAGGATTTATACGTGGTATTCACAGACACAGTGGCTGCGATACATGATCTTCTAATCAGGGACTTCTACCGCAACGTAAAATACCGGCTTTGTACCGGTATTTTTGGTTGGATCTTCGCCCTATATGTATGACCCTATATAAGCCCTACCTTATATGTAGAAACCGAAAAAATACTGGTATTTATTTCGGTTTTAGGTAATATATCGGTTTCGGTATAACTTTGATGGCATATTACTGGTATCAAAATCATATCGGTTTAAGTCCCTGCTTCTAATTCTTCTGAGCAGTGCGTAAGAAATGTATTAAATCTGGACGATGTTTTATATTTTATTGTATTTTGGACGGTTTTATATGCTCTAAATGCATAAAATCCTCAGTCTAGTTATTATACGGATGCTGATTCATTGACGTTGACTTTGATCGACGTTACCCCAAATAGCAAAAGAACGTCCTATGTACGTCCGATGGACGTACGTTCCGGACGTTCTGTACATTCTGTGGATGTCCCCGTTAGGTCCTCGTTGAGATCTTTGATCAATTGTCCCAGGAAGCACCTATTTATAAAGTGGAACGTCCTGAACACGTCCTGTGTCAACATTCTCAGAACGTTTCCCGAATGTGTAAAAGTAACATTCCCTGTGCGTTTTAAGAACGTTTAAAGAGATTTTAAAAACGCTATGGTATTGTCTTAAAAGACGTATAAGAAAAGTTTCTCAAATGTTTAAAATTGCGGTTAGGTTTCATTCTGTGCATGGTGACAGAAGTTAGGTTAGGTTGGTATGTGTTTAATAAATAAAAGATTAACTTTCCTACGATTTCCGCACTTAGTAGAAATTAGATCTAGTTAGTTCCTGTTAATAAATAAAATGTTAAATTTCCTATAAGGAATTACAATGAAAATATAGGTCTGGGGATTATGATCTCTAAGTACATTGTGTTTATTTCCATTTTCACAGCAAAACTTTGATTCGGTGTTGATTAGAGACAGTTTAAGAAAGAACATGTTTTTTCAACTTTCTTGAGATTTTCGCACAAAACCACTAGTGTCGTTACACTTCTCTATTGATTCTTTAAACACAGACACCTTGTTCATAGGGTTCCATCACCTTGCACGGAATGACATTGGCAAAAATACTAAACAAAACCATCCCGAATTTAAGTCTTGAGAACATCCGTAGGACTTTAGGGACGGATGTTTCTCGAACATCCGAAATTTAAGTCTTATGAACGTCCTAGGGATGTCCAAAATGGACGTAGGACATTCGAATATAAACTGGACATGAAACGGACGTCCTTAGGATGTACGGTGCTATCTGGGTACGTGTTCATGGGAACCAGTGTCAATATCTATAACAACTGTCGATGAAACATTTCTTCGGCAGTTGAAGTGAACCTGATGAGACTATAGTCTAGGCGTAAAAGAGATAGGATATTCGTATTACTGAAGTACACTGTCACGGGCGTGGGGACAAAAAAAATTGTTAAAAATATGTGGGGGCAAGGGTCTTGGACCTCGGTCAGTCTTGCACGAACTTGTTACGAACCGAGAGCTAGAGGCAGTCTTCGCCGTAGCCGGGGTTAGGTAGTGTGTTAGGAGCGGATTGGCTTCGTAACTTTGTAATTAAGAATACAGTACGCTTCGAGCGGTAAAAGTGTACTGTTGTGGGTTTTACTCCAGCTAGGAATTCGGATATGATTTGGGCTTGTAAATGAATTGAATTCTAAGTTTATAGAATAAGGAATACAAACATATTCTAAATCAGTCGTAGGAGTTTACAAATGTTTGAGTTGCAAGTGTTGCGGAAAATAATTTCTTCCCTGATGTTCACGCACCAAGAGAGAGAGAGTGCGGGGTCTCGTTAAAGTAACACCTAACAGTAAATTTACGTGCGATCAGAATATTTCTATTAATTTAACAGGTTGCAGCCATAACACAATACAATCACGTTGTAATGATAGATAAACCGACTTCAACTGAAAACTTGATTTTATTCATTGCTTTGGTTCATGGAATAACATTCCTCTTTTATTTCCTTCTATGATTTAAATTTAAAGGTCTTGAATCATTGTCTAATTGAAAATATTTTTATAGGTTTTAGGTTTCACATGCTACATGTAGACAGCGACAGCTACACACTGTAGTGTATACATATATGTACACATATATGTATGTTAGAAATATTTCCGTATATACTTTGATTTCGATCACCTTCCAGGTTCTGGGGTAAGTGCCGTGTCTCTTGACACAGTCCTCTTGCCAGAGAGTCCCCCGAATCTCCCCACTCTGTGGCCAGATCCTATATTTAAAATCTTTTATCACACGCGCCTCGGTAGCAACCGGCAACCAGCAACCGACAACCCAGCGTCGGGCCCTTTGCCGTCACGCAACACCCGGACGCCGAGGCCGCGAGAAATCAACAATGCATCGTCACTCGTGCCGCCACCGAACCTAAACACCGATGATATGTTTAACATTCCGGCTATTGGCGATACAATCTCTTCTCAAGAAGCCGACACCACGTGCCTCTCCTTTCATAAAAGAATTGACGCTACATGTATATAATAATTATATTCAATTAACTAATAAATATCATTTCTATGCAACTGATCTTTCCTAGTGAATTTATTTATTTTTTGGAGTAGGTAGTTGTTAGAAAACGAAAAATATGTTTACAGTTTTTTTGGTGATAATAACATTGGAAAACATATACCTATTATAATTAGTTATATATAATATTATAATTTTTCATTTCGAATATCGATATTTCTATAACCATTGTCATCACAGACGGAATGTCATCTATAGTAATCATTTAGTTTTATAGTATCTCGCAATCCAAGAGGTAATGAATGCAGACAGTATTTTTAGATTTTTTATCCTCAACATCAGTATCATCGAGTGGCTAACATACGGACACCAGTTGCAATAGATGTAATCACACGCACATGCATTGAAAAACAGTGTATGTGAGAAGTACAACAAAGTAAAATCATCGATTGTTGCCTCATAGTGTGCATGTATGTTCAGGTTACACTGTAAACTAGGAGTAACACCTAGACTGCGGACTTTATGTAGTTATATCATGTACATACATAGAAGCATGTGCAATACAGTAAGATACAAAAATTCGATCTAGTTGACAAATTTTTTATTTTATTTGAGCCCATTTAAATGTCTAAGAAAAGAAAGAATTCCCCTTTTCACTCTTGTTTTTATAAATTATTTTATGAAATGACATTTTGCGTAAAGATTCGCAGTCTATGTAGTATAAAATCGCGAAAATAATGATACGCACTGATTAAGCCGGGCCCCCGCTACATAACAAAGCACTGTTAAATAGTAGTTACAAAATTTGTTAAAAAGGAGAACGAAACACGTTCTAGAACATTATATTAAATAACATTTTCCGTGTTATATGGCATGTTATATGTTATCCAACATGTAAAAGTTCGAAAATATTCTTATACTGAATGCTGCCTGTCGGTCCAAAATAGTGGACAAAGATTTTAAAATATTTGCCATCTTCCGTATCCAGGTGGTTCGTAATTTCAATCTTGTAAAATTTTAACACTTCCGTCACATCGAATTTCTCTTGTCAATGGATCACTATCATCTCTTTCAATGTCCGTTAAAAGATCACGACCACTATATGACCACTTCAAACTTGTAATGATGGCAGTATCCAGAATCTTCATTTACGCCTGCTTTGATGTCTCGACAAAGTCACACAAGCAGCTACTGCCAGAATTAGGGTCCTTAACGTTTAACGCCAATATTAATACACATACTAAATGTTTTATAAACTTGTTACCATACAAAACATAGAATTTAGTAACAAATTAAAAAAATATGTTGTGCGACGCAATGCCAAACAGATTTGTTATATAATAATGTTTTCTTAGATAGTGTGGATCCAGCTTTAGCGTTATTGGATCAGTGTCACTGATCAATAGACTGCGAAAGTTTATGCAAATTTACAATTTTAGATACAAATATTTGAAAACTAAAATTGGTCAGAATTTTAAATTCTATACTAAAGGCTTCGTTACATCAGTAATAACACATAAATAGTATTGAACCTTATTAAATTCTTTGTTT